ACAAGGAAGTCAGCAAAACAAAGCCAAGCTCAATGAATAAACGGTGCAATGGCAGCCGACAGACAAGAGCAGGCAACAACAACAAATACATAAGTATGTGTATGTATGTATAACAGCCAGCAGACCGGCGGAATTAAATTTTAATTTTAATCGCCAAAAAAGAATAAACAGATGGAAGAATGAAAGAAAGAGATGGACAGATGGAGAGAAATACAAGGAAGCGATTCACACAAGCCATACACCCATACATACACCAATGAACATAATGGGGATCGGCGTGCAGACAAATAAATTTCCAAGCAGAAGGCAAACGGCCGCTGTGCAGCCACTGAAAATCGAAAACTCAAAATGCAAGCGCACAGCTGCGGTCAAGATAATAGGCCTGAAATTAAGCTGACAGGAAGCACTGATTAAATATATATTTAATTGTCAGGCGTAATTCATTGTTGCGACTTAATATTGTACTGGGCACAAATGGATAATTTAAAATTTACAAGCATAACGATGTTGGTGTTAAATACTGGTGTAAAATACTATTTTATTATTGCAACTGTATCTGTTATTCAAAATATCGTTAAATAACGAATAAAAGCTGGTGGAATAATTAGAATAACTACGCCTTTTAGAAAGGAAATTGATTTGATCTTATTAAAAATGTGAGTATACAGCAAACTTAGCCTTGAACACCACTACATTCCCAACCGCGCCTGTACACGCATCGTGGAATTTAATAAACACCGAACAGAACAAAACAGAACAGACACGGCCATATGCATGAAGGCTGTGGATTTGTACATAAATCCCTGCGAGACGATCGCCAGAACCACAACAACAACAACACCAACTATGGAACAACCGCAGAGGAACAACAACAATAATATAGGGAACAGGTCGCGGACTCAGGTAAAACGGCAGGAAGTGTACGAGTGCGAGCGAGATGGCTTCGATAAGACAGAAACTACCGCTGATAAAATATATCGATAAAATGGGCAAGCAGGTAGTGTAATAGGAAAAGGCCTGAAAATTTCTGGAAATACGCCAGGGGAAATGATGCTGAGGGGGCGCGACAAACAAAAACAACAAACCAAAAATTCAGAAAAACTGAAAAACAAAAACAACAACAAACCCTAACAACTGTAAAAATGCAACAAGAAGAACCTGCTTGGAAAGCAGCAGGGCAACAACAACATAAACAACGTAAGAGAGAGAAGGCAACAAGAACACGAAAAACAACGCGACAAAGTAATGGAAAACGAGAAGGGAAGTTAACTACGAAAAGTATAAACTTCTATGCCCTACAATAATTTTATTATTTTACTTCTAAAAACATTTTTTTGCAACTCGATATATGTCCATTCTTTGTGCATTTAGAATATGTTATAACTCCATAAATATATTTATATTAAAACTTTTCAAGTATCCCCTTGAAATCAGAATAATCTTTGTAAGGGTATTAAAATTGTTAGAGGCGAAGTCTAAAATTAAACAAGCGTGAGCGAGATGCACAGAAAAGCAGCCAGAGAGGTTGAGTGGAAGAGAGCTAAAAGGAGTGGGAGCAAGAGAGCAGGCAAGAGAATGCAACGTATGCAGTTATTTATGTAGGCGCAGCCTTGTTTTTGTTGTTGCTTTTTTGGAGGCCCGCAGATGAAAAGTCTGAAAATCGTGTAGAAAATCAAATTGCAAAGGCAAACTCCACTTGGACATTATGTTGTTGTTATTATTGTCGTTTTTGTCGTTGTTGTTGCTGTTTTCCGCTGCTGCAGTCGTGACGTCAGGGCGCATGCGTTAAACTGAATGCCGCTTTTCTATTTTGCTGTCATCTCAATGATGTTATGGTGCTGTATCCTTTCAGCTTAAAGTTAAAGGGTATTCCCATTCAGTCGCAGTGTTGGAAACACTACTTTTTTTAGAGAGCTTTCCACTCAAGTTTTCATTTCCCTAAACACTTTGAACTTAATGGCGGGGGATAGAAAGCAGTTATCGGCAACTAGTTATCTGTTAACCCAACTGGAAAAAGGGTATCCCAGAAATTGAATTAAGTGGGCCAATGTATTTGTATACCCTTTGAAGATAGGGTATTGGGAAACCAACTTCTTGGAAACTTAGTTATTAAAACAATAGGCACCGAAAACCGCAGCTTTGATAAACAAACTGTGCCGATTTATTTGTTTGTTTATTTATTTCGGATAACAAGTAATCAAAAATGAAGCCTTACATTTAATTTAAGATTTTATATTTTAAAAGCGACGGAAAGCCAAGTACAACTGATAAAAATATTGCATACCAAAACTCTACAACGTTAATTAAATTTCTTCACAGATTCTGAAAATAACCCAGCTTTTATCACGAGTCTTTTAATTAAATGATTAGAGCTTCCCGAGAAATTGATAAATTTGTACTGTTATAGGTTAAATTTCAAGCGACTTAAAACTTGAAGCAAAAATCTTTTTTTATTAATAAAAGATTGAGTATAGCTTAGAGTTCTTAATAGGTAATGCAAAATTGTATACAAGGGTGCTTGAGTTCCGGTCCTGAAATAGAACCTTAATGGCCATCTGGTTGCTTTTGTATTTTTTATAAATTGTTTTTGTTTTTTGGGAAAAACGCACACATGAAATTTATGCGGCGTTGCGTTCTGGAGTTCTGAGTTCTCAGTTCTGAAACATGAAGATTTCGGTGGTGCGGTGGTGGTGTTGGTGCAACCAGAAGGGGGTGTTTTTTTCCCAGCTGGGGGTTGGTTGTTGTTGGAGCCGCCGTTCACTGGGAAAACAGAAAGGTTGGGGGCAAAAAAGGAAAGGCAGTGACAAAATGCGCACAAAAATAGAAAAGCAATCTTGCATTGCGACGTAGTAGCGATTAACAAAAACCAAAAAAATATATAAAACAAGGAAAACAATTATAAATTGCGTTATAATTTGTGCGATATGAAGCGGTGAGAATGTTTATCAGGCATTTTGAGGTTCGGGGTTCAATAGACCCGACAGGCGCGGCAAATGCAACGCAAATCCAAATTCTAAATACGAAATACAGAAAAGTTTCGCAAGAGTGAAGAAATAGAATTTATCATATTTATATTTCAAATGTTATTGAAATCTATAGATATATACTCTGCAGAAAAGGAATGTAAACAATAAAAAATGTTTCTAGTATAAACAAATCAGATACTCAGACAACAATTATAATGTACCCAATGAACCCAATCTAGCTCTGATTTTGATGGATCATCTTTATGGAACGTGGTCTGTAGGGCAATAAACACGGTCTGTGACGAACATGAACGCTAATAGGGCTGTCAAAACGGGTTAACGACATCGCTCGATATCGAAAAATATGTATATTTACACTTGGGTCGCACTGATAGTGACTATCTGAAATGCATTTTTGATAAATAGATGATAACTTACCGTTTCACCATTTTGTTGGTTACCCCCGAGTTGTTTTCCTGCTGAGTGCCAATATCAACGGATCTGTTATAATCCAGTTTTGATGTAAAGATTTTAATGCGACGGAAATTAATTTTGCCGATCTTTTTGTAAAACCTTTAAATAATCGATATGTATATTAAGGATTAATATTAATTGCTCTTCAACGCGACTTTTACTTCCTAGTAGGATAGAAGTAGTTTTTTAAGCGATGGCGGCGCAGCAGGAGTCCAATTGGAAAACAAAATAAAATGAAGACAAAAAGAATTCGAGGGGTAGACAATTTTATTTATAATTTTCATTGCAGGCGGATTCTACTTGGTTTTTTTTTTCGAAAATTCCTGCTGCTGCGGCGCCAACGCAAGGTTTTATTTTTTGTTGTTGTTTGACTGCACGAAAAATCACTTTATTGATCCGCTTTCGCCGTAATTATATTCACGTTTCTGTAGTGGAAAAACGGCGGAGATTAGCACGCAATATGAATGCACTTTAGATTTTTCCCTTTCCCACTTCTCCAACACCCCGTCCCCAGCGCTTTTCCACTTTCTTTGCGGCGCTTAGTCACTTCGCACACTCACACACACTCTCCCAAAAATCACTTTCCGATTTGCATTTGCATTTTTACCTCTCGAATGCGATTTATTCAGCAATCTGCTTTGGATATTATTTATATTACTTTCGAACTGGCTCATTCGCGCACAGAATCTTAGTGATTTTCCTGTGTTATTTTCCGATACACATAAACAAAGCTCGCGGCGTTTGGCTTTTCCGCATCTCGCGCGCGTTTTCAATTTATAACGCTTAGAATTCGATCGCAGTTGGCAGTTTTAATACACGGTTATTTTGTTTTAAAATCGAAGGCAGTGCGCCTGCCTTTCCTTTTGTTTTGTTGTTTAATTATCAGCGATAAAACGGCGTAGACAACAACAAATAACGATGCGTGGTGATGCGGGCGGTGGTTTTGATTCGTTGGAGCTAGTGTGACTGCAGGTCGGCTAAGCAGGCAACCCACTTGAAACGCCTACACAAAAAAATCGTACTAGAAAATACCTAACGAACTTTTAAATTGGTTCCTGTCTTTACTAGGTATTTGCGCCGACTATACCTACTCTGCTGTGTCACAGAGCTCTGTTAACTTTAGCGCTCAAAATAAATAAGATAATACCTTCTGTTGCCTCGCCGAGCTCTGTTAATTAATTCGATTAAATGAAATACATTAAATATATATACGTATTTTGTTTTTTAAAATATTTGTTTCACATCATTTGATATCTGTAATGTCATTTGCGGATTTTTTACCTAGGTTCAATATATCGGCAAACTAATAAATTTATCGATTGCTTATCAGATCAATTAAATATTCAAGCACAATGCTCCACTAATAATAAATTATTCATTTACTCAACCTTAGAGAAGAATGAATGCAATATTCGTTATCAAGTACATACATGAAACAAATTGAGGGTTTGGTAAAAAATAGACTTCTATTACGCAGTCCTATGCTATTTGTCAGCCCCATATGGAATTCAATAAACAACGAATATTTTCCCTTAACAAATAATAAATATCGCCGACTTGTTCAACTATGAATTAACAGTGTATTTTCATGTAATGCCTGCTGCATCACATCGGTTGGTTTGCGGTGGCCAACCCAGCTTATCGGCTACGAATCTTATACCTATTTGTTATGGTTATAATGGTGTATGTATGATTTTCAGCAGATCAGATCAGTGGCGTTCAGAACTCGCCGCTCTTGCCGTCGCAGGCTACGATCTTGACCTTGTCCACCTTGACGAACTCGTGGACTTCGCGAAACTCCACATCGTTGAGCATGAGGGTCCAGACATTGTCGCAGAAGCGATAGGTGTTTAGTTTTCCAGCCTTAAAAGTCACACGGGCCTTTACCCGCTGGTTTAGAGCATTGTTGATGCTCTTGTCGAACTGGAGCAGCACCTTGAACGCTAGCCCAGGCGTGATCTGGCCGTACTGCAATATGGAATACGAAAATTAAATTGCGTTTTTGTCGACCATTGGCAAAGTACGGCCATTTTGGTATCTATTACTTACCTGAATCAGCTCATCGAGGCTCTCCTGTAGAGTGTTTCCGAGTGTGGTATTACGGTAAAGTTGGTACGACATGGTATCTCTGTTTACTTCGGCTTATCTTCACTTTTTCCTAGAATTTTACGTTTACGTCTTGTTAACTAGACCACAAAAATTTAATGCGAAGCAACAGCTTAGTGTTGGTAAGGGTCCAGGAACGATATTTTGCAGCACTAGTTTGGCTGGGTTGCCAGATGGAGTAGGGCTTGTAAATCAAACAGTAGAGGGCGTTATTGGCAATCGACCGTTTTTGTTTAAATTTGCGATTTACAAAAATGTTTTATATTTTGAGGAAGCGTATTTTTGAAGTGTTCATAATTTATTCTGATGAATCGGAAGCATATGTGTAGTCCGTTTTAATATCTTTATTAGATCGTTCCGCATCGGTTTCAGCCTCTAGTCTATTATTTGGATCACTTAGGTTTCCTGCGGCTTCCAAATCTTCCTTCTTGCTCGCCACCAATGTACGAGCTTTTTCCTTGGCTTTGGCTATTAGATCCCTGTACTTGGGCAACCTTTTTTCAAAGATTTCGTTGGACTTCTTTGTTGCGGCCTGAACCAATATATCTCCCGTAAAGCAGCGCATTGCATTTTGGAACATCTTTCGGACTGAGCTCACAAAGGTATCAAAGCTTTCAAAATTATCAGAGTTTAAACGATCCTGCAGTACACGCCAATCCAGTTTCTCTTCACGATCATGGTCGTAGTCCTTATTTGGGCCGTATCGTCGCCAGTATTCAGCGTTATTAAAAGCCCATGTGAACTCCTTGCGTTTTTGTTTAACCATTGATTTCAGGAGATGATCACAATGGCTCTTCTCAATCAACCGGTCCAGAGATTTGTAACAGACTATGACTGGTGGTGTTTTGGGTTTTGGTGGCAAAGGTGGAGCTGGTGGTGGAGATGTCAACATTGACAATGGCATGTGTATTGGTCCAACAGGAGCAGTAGTCAAAGGAGGTGGCAGGACAACTGGTCGCAGAAGAGGTGGAGGAACAGTATGATTTTCTGATGGATTTCTAAAGCTACTTGCCATCGGTCTATCCCAAGGCTTTAGCATTGGAAACAATGGATTCATAGGCATGAAACTTATTTTGGGATCTGGTGTTATGAAGCTTGGAATAGGCGGTCTAAAAGGTGTTACACCGGGAATCGGGGTGGAGACGTACTTGGAAGAAATACGTCCATTGCAGTTTACCGGATAATGAAATGGCACTGTAGAAGGTAATTCTGTTGGAACTGGAGGAAGGTCAAAATTGTCGTTAGCCTTTCTTTTACGCTTGTCCTTAGGCTTTATTTCTTCCTCCTTGCTAAAATCAAGCGCTTCAATGCGAGCATAGAAGGCGTCCTTCATCACCATGCCAGCATTATAAACCGGCGATCCCTCCAAATTATACATTCTACAGTTCTCAAAAATCAGATCAAAATCATATATAGCCTCACTTGCCTGCCAATAATAGTTGTTATGCAAACGCTTTTTGATCGTATTTAAGTCCATTGGGTACTTGATCCTTGAGTGATAGTCGGGAACATCCAACATTACCGAATTTACGGGATTACGAAAATAAAACGAAAAGCGACACCGAAGTAAAATGTTCAACGTGGACTTGATGTCTTCCAGTAAGTTGGTCCTGCGTCCTGGACGATTTTCTGGTGGCATGACCGGCGGTTGGACTATCCCATTCACGGGTTGAAGAGGCGGTTCATAGCGCGGTGGTGGCATAAGATTGTCCATTTCTTAGTAGATTAAATATAAAAGTTAAACATTAAACACTTTTTCGAATAATTAAACTAACCCGACTTCCGATGTAAAGGTGATAGTTCTTTCAGCTTGGAAAACCGACTTATACTGAACCTGTTTGTCACATTTTCCAAGCACTACTACTTGACGTAAAAGTCTGTGGTAATTTGTTTAACATTTAAATACTATTTTGTAAGACTAAGCACATCATAATCTCACTAACACTTAACCTTCAATAGGTGGAATCCGTAATAAACAGAATAGATGACTGATTGACTAGATTTTAGTCTTAATCAAAGCCTTCAACGATGCAGTTGCATTCGGGGAAAATATATAAGCAAATGGATTTATCAGTGATTTTTATATCTTACCTAAGCTTTGTACAAATATCTGTCATTCCAGGTAAGATTAGTGTTTATTAAATACTACAGTAGTATATCACGAAGAATATATTAAATATTTACTAGGTAAAGCTACTGGATCTACTGTAGTTGGTGGCAATCCTGCCCCGCCGAAGAAATATCCCATGGCTGCTCGTCTTGGCCATGTCAACCCTCTTGAGAACGATACCAAGTGGTTCTGCGGAGGCACGTTGATTAGTCACCGGGTGGTTTTAACGGCTGCCCACTGTTTCTATTCAGATGTGTACGTATTATATATGTAATCCCACCTCTGAATTCACTTATAGAAATTACATCATTTCTAGGGGATCAGTAAATATTGTGCGCCTGGGCGAACTAGTTTTCGATAGCAACACGGACGATGCAGAGCCGGAGGACTATGAGGTTCTGGAAAGCAAGGCCCATCCGGACTTCAGGTACCCGGTGCTCTACAATGACATTGGGATTGTTCGGTTGCGTAAACACGTAACCTTTAGCGTTTACAAAATGCCAGCCTGCCTTCCTTTGAATAATGGAGAGCAGTTAAGTTTCTTCACTGCCATCGGTTGGGGTCAAACGGAGTATGATAACTTCGAGCCTTCCAAGGAACTGATGGAGGTGAGACTTCGAAACTATAATCGCTCATGTCGGGAGACAACGTATCCAAATGAGGACTTGCCCGAAGGCTATAAAGCACAATCGCAATTGTGCATTGGATACCCCGGTCACAGGGACACTTGTAATGGTGACTCTGGTGGTCCACTCCTGATTGCCCATACTGGAAATGGATGTAAATTCCAAGTCATGGGAATCACATCGGTAGGCATTGCATGTGATACTCCGAATGTTCCCAGTTTGTACACCAGGGTGCACTCCTTCCAAGATTGGATCATAAAGGAAATAAACAGCGGCTAGTCGTAGCCAACATTTGCATAATTAAAAACGAATTTGATCATTATAAAGAATGAATTAAATTTTTTTATAGTACGAAGTGTACCCTTCAATTTCATTAAATAAATAATTACAAAAATTCAATAAAGCATTTAAGTTCTCTGGTTTTTGACTTTTTATTTGTTTTGTGTGGTTCCGCTAAGTGTGGTTTCGTTTTGTATTTTGTTTTACAATTATAATTTTACAATAGTTTCAACTAAATAAATAATAACAATTTATAAATATAATTTCTTTCATTCCTCCTTCATCGCTTACTCAGGGTTTTCGTTTGTGTTCGACATAAATAATTTCTTCTTCTAGAGTTTATAAAACATTTTGGGTTCAAGCAATAAATGAAAATCAGAAGCTGCTTTTGATTCAAAGTTAATTGCTTAATTAAGCAAATGTAATAATTTTGGACGCAATGACTGCGTAGATCTGCCCTCTTGTGGTTGGTTACTCAATTTTTAACTTAGTGGCTAAGTATCAGCTAAGGCTATCTATTTATAAAAATAATGGTTAAGTCTATAAAATTGCAACGAAAACAAAACCTATACGAAAAAAACCAAGGGTCTATATGCAATAAATAAATACTTAGTACTAACATCTGTAGCTTGGGGTTGGGGGTGTTTACTATATACAAAACAACGCAAAATTGCGCCGTGGCGCTTTTCTAAGAAGCAAACCTACTGCTTATTGTTAGAACTCTTCTTTGTAACTTGATTTTCATTAACATCATCTTGCTGTTTTATTGTCTATTTCAAAAGTGTGGCGCGCGCCGCCCAACGACGCAACTAAGCGGGGAGTCGTGTGAGAGAGTCTGGTAAAGAATACAAAACAACAAACTCCAAAGCTGAGGCCTGACATCTAACACTAAACTCTATACTCGTATCGTATATGGGATAGCTTTATATATGTATGACCTGGCGGCATCTCATCCCGCTTTACTTATGCCCAATGACGAGCGTGTAGTTGGCTGTGCTTACTGTCGACGACAACGTCGACAACGCTGGTCATTTGGTCAGCTTTAGGATCTCGGAACGAGCCAGAGTGGTTCCAGTTCCAGTCGTAGCTACAGCCGTAGCTCCAGCTCCCTGCAGCGTACCAGTGCCCGTTGCGCCCGCCGGTGGAGCTGGAGCTATGCGTATGGGTTTGGCTCGCTGCTGATTGAAGAGGCCACTCAATGTGGCCGCCGTGCTGGTGGTTAGCATCATGCTGGCCCCACTTGTATTAGCCTGGCGCTTGCTCCGTGCGAGTCCATTTATTTTGTTGTTCGTTGAAGAGGGCGACTGCTGCTGTTGCTGCTGATACTGCTGTTGCTGTTGCTGTTGTCCGCCGGCAATTACAGCTGGTCCTGCCGATGCTGGAACAACGGCAATGCTAGCTGATGATGATGAGGATGTGGCTGCGGGTATCGTGGAGGCTGAAATGTTATCCAACTCAGTCATTGCTTCTTGTATGGCCCGCTCGAGTTGCGAGTTCAGTTTGCGGCTCCTTTGTGGTCGCATATTGGGTGTGTGTATGAGGTTGAGTTTTTGGTTGGTTTCAGGTTGGGTTTGGGTTTTTTTTTTGCATTTTCGAGTGGGGTTGTTGTTGGTCATGATGATGATGATGATTATGCATACACACACACACAGAGTTATACACGTTGGGGTTGGCAGGGCAGGGTTTAATTTTTGGATTTGGTTCAGCGCATTTTAAAAAAGAAACAAGAATATTAATTAGCAAATTAAAAGTCAAAATGTAAACAATGATTAAATTAATTAATAATGCATATAAATGCCGATTTATCACTCAATTGCTTAGCTATGGATTATCTATCAAATTATCTACATTTCAAAGGCTAACTGAAGGCTGCAAAATAAATATATATAGGCTTAAAAGGAAACTACAAAATAAAATGCTACTAAATGGAAAAACTTTTATAACTTTTAGAGTTTAAAAAATGAAAAAATAAACTACAATGTAAGAGAAAATGCATTACTTAAACATAGATCAAAACTTAAAACAGATTTACATTCGATATTAAAAAGTACTAAAAATATAGTAAAGTAGTTTATAGTTCTATCTACAGTGCTGGTCTGGTGGTACACCTATAGCCAAAGGTTCCCTCAATAACGCTGCCTGTTGGATTAACTTGATTAAAATTCAAACCTCCCCCCTAATTTCTTCCTAGACATCCCCAACCTTGGATTGATGCTCACTTTCTCGTATCCTTCTGGGCCTTGTGATGTGCTTCCAGACCCTCGGAGAGGCTCTGCAACGAGTTGACCGGAATCAGTTCGGAGGTGGAGCGCCCGCCGCCGCCAAACCACTGAACCCACACGTGGTCAAACTGCTGCGACGGCGTGCACACTCCGTCGGGCATCTTGACGATTTTCCCGGGCCAGGCGGGATGGCCACGGGCCGGACCCCAGATCAGTTCCCCAATGGCGAAGGATCTTGGCGGCAACAGGAAACTTCTACCCATTGGCGTGGCCGTTGCACGTACCGCCCCACGCTGCGGCCGACGTGAACGTTTCGTGGGCGTCTTGTTGGTCGCCTTCTCAACAGTTGATGGAGCCTCTAGGATCGGAGGGGTTGGAACCGATGACTGCAACTGCGTTGTTGTGGGTGACTCTACGAAAGGCACACACACACATAAAGACTAGGACTATGGCTTTTTGTTGTTACTCGTGGGGCAGAGGTGATCCCAGCACCAAGCGATAGACAGACGGGGAGCGAAGATTACAAACTAAACAAAGGTGCAGGTGCAGGTGCAGGTGCGGGTGCTGGAGATGGTGCAGGCGATCATGCAGTGGCCAAATGGGTGTTCGTGTTTTGGTGATGGGTTAGCGTGTGGATGCAGTTAGTGCTGGTCAGCGATGGGGCCTTACCCTGGTAGTCAACGTTAACTACTTTGTGGCTATGAAGGAAGGTGTTTGAATGGCTGTTGTTGGAGATGTTTGGAGTGTGTTGTTGCACGGCCTGTTGGCGGAGCAAATGATGGCGGTGACCCGCCGTCACATTGTTGGTTAGTTGTGCCGGCGATGACGATGTTATGGACATGGATGCGGATGTGGAGTTGGTGTTAGATGTGGCCATTCGCATACCTTGTCCCTGCATCAGACTGATTCCATTCTCTCCCGCTGACTGCGATGTGATGTGGATGCGTCTGATCTTCGGATCCGAATGCTTGTAGATTCCAGTTGGTTGGGTGAACAGATTGTTGTTACAGATACCTGGTTTGGTAAGAGGATTGTATAAGTAGGGATTCAACATACAAGTTAGATGCACCTACTCCTTTCACAGTCCGTGGAAGACGGCGACTGCCTGCTCTCAACGCTTTGGGGAGAAACCGCCGCATCTGGCTCTGAACTGGACACACATTGCACCTAATAAGGAGTGGAAAGTGATTAGAAAACATCTAGGAAGGAGAAATCAAACACTTACCATATCGCTGCCACTGCTTCGATGGCTGGGAGGTCGCTCCGGGCTTCGTGGACTGCAGGTTGTTGTATCCGGCGGACTGGCAGCTGTTCCCTGACGACTCATCACCGTCTCTGTCACATAGGTGGCCTGAGCCGGCTGCAAACTGATCTGCGTGGGCTGCGGGGCTGGCTGCTGTTGGATCTGGATGGTAGTGGTCGTGGGACTTGCCTGAACGAAGGATGCACCTCCCTGCTGACCCGTTGGCATCACCAGACCCATGGGTGTGGAATAGATCTGCCCAATGGGACTTAACTGCCCATTAGCTCCCACTAAGTACTGTTGACCCCCAGCGCTAGGCGAAATAAAGGAGGGCTTGCTCTGGGGTGATGGAGTTCGCAGCATCACAGGACCCTGTGGCGTCATCAGACTGGTAGTGGGCATGTTCTGGATTTGCAGCAGAGTAGCATCCGGTCCCATTACCAATCCGGCGGGCATAAGAAGCTGTTGTCCAATGAGATTAACCTGCTGCAGGATTTGCCCATTTTGGAGCAGAAGCTGTTGCGTCTGTTGAGCCTGTGGAGGATTGGGCTTGTTTACCACGATACCTTGGATCCCAGGACTCAGTTGGAATTGCTGTTGAAACTGAGGAGCTGCCGCCGCTGCCTGCTGGTGGAGCATAGCTGGTGCCTGGCTTGGGATGCTGGGCGAGATCTGTGGCGAAATAGTCTTGGCGGGCGAACCATTCGGCGGCGGAGTATGACATATGGAGTTCTTCCTTTTCCGTGCCCTCCTCTTTGTATCCGGCGAACTGATGATAAGCGTCTGCGCTGGAGGCGGCTGCGGCATGGCCAAGATCTGCTCAGCCTGGTGTGGCGCCTGCGATTGCTGTTGCTGCTGGACGATGTAACCTCCATTGGCCAGGGTATTCAGCAGCACAGCCTGCGGTTGATTTCCTGTTCCTCCGGCAGTCGCCTGATTAATTTGGCCCGCCTGCGAGGTGATGATCTGGTGGTGCAACAGCTTGGCTCCACCGGAGTTCAGGATCACAGTACTGCTACTACTGCTGGAACTTGCAGTCGCCACGGGAGAGGGTTGGCTGACGATATAACCACCTCCCGGTTGTGGATGTAACTCGGCCGGCTGCTGTTGCTGGATGATGACACCTTGTCCAGGCTGACCGGGACGATGATGCTGCGTCGTCTGTTTGCTGGGCGTGGGTATGACCAGAAGCTGTCCCGACGATGTCATTATTAATTGACCACCACCACCTGCTCCACCCATTGCATTGGCCATCGATTGCAGCTGTGCCACAGTGGGATTCGAGTTGGCCAATGTGGTAGTTACCGGGCGACCCGTGATCGTACTCGCTCCCGCGGAAGAGGTAACTATGCTTCTGGTCATCGTGGCCAGGGCTGCACTGCTACTGGGAACAGCCAAACGCTGGCCGGGAATGATCTGCGTCTGCTGCTGACGCATTAGACGGACATGGGCAGGCACAGTGACGGGTGCTGGAGCTGGAAGATTCACCTGGGTCTGCGTGCGCATCTGCAGCAACTGTGGCTGCATCTGAACATGCATTTGGGGCTTGGGTGAAGCGGAGGGCGTGCTCTTCGCCGAATCAATCGAATCCGTTGGCGAGGATAGACTCTGTCGCGGGCTCTCATGACTGGTGGATATTGCGCCCACCTGCTCGGGTCGCTTCTCTAACGTTTCGCTGGCACTACTCGATACTGGTGACTCCTGGGGAGCTGGGACCAGTGTCACGCTAGTGATCTGTGGTTTCTGGGGTCGTGCAAAGGCGGCGGTGTCCACTTGCAGGGTTCTTGGTCCAGTGGATGGTTGGGTACTTGTGGCAGGTGCTGGATCCGTTTCCCATTTCCCGAAGAGCGAAAGGCGTCGAATCTTCTGGCGTTGCAACTGCTGCAAATGTTGTTGCTGCTGGAGTTGCTGTTGATGCTGCAACTGTTGGGAGCTGTGCACAATAGGTTCCTGTGGCAAAGCTCTCGCCGTGGCAGTTCCTGCCGCTGTTTTCGTCCCATCCAAGCCCACTCCCAGGCTGCTATGCAACATAGCTGTTTGCTGTTGCAGATAACCAGCCGGGTCGTCCTTAAAGTTGGGATGTTGATGGGGTTGCTGTTGCTGTTGCTGCTGGATAACCGTTGTGGCTCCTCCGGGGACAATGGGTGGCGTGGGTGGTGGCGCAAATGCGTTGGCTGGCTGCTTTATCACATGTCCTCCAGTTGAACGCTTGGGGTGGCCGCCGCTAACTTGAACTCCGCCTAATGCTAATGTTTGACTAGTTGGCATCGCATTCGGTAGCGGGAATGTGGGCGTTGAAGCGGGCATGGGCATGGACGTGGGCGTGGTCGTGGTCCGGACCGAGGCAGGTAATTTGTTATTGCCAAATTTGTGGCAATCAGCGTCTGGAAATGGAGCAACAAATTGAAAAGGCAAAGTCAGTGAAAGGTCAAGATATCCTTAGTTTGCTTATGCAAAGCGCGTCGCGTCCTTAAAGTGCCCGCAACGTGTCCACCCCGTAAAGAAACGCCACCCACAAAAGGTCTTGCAAACTGTGAGTTCGGTGGAGCACAAAAATGGGAAGCGCTATAGGAATCCCAAAATCAGAACACACAAACGTGCGGCCACGAGTGTATCGCACAAAAAAGGGTGTTAGGGGGTGGCTCCAAGGGCATGTCAGTGGCTTTCCTTTTTCAAACGTAAGCATATAATGGCAGACTTATAATTAAAAAGCTTTACCCCCCCAAAAAAAAGCAAGGGATGCATCCCTCAAACAATAAAAATAAATACGAACAAAAAACCAGCCACAGAAAATTTAAATTCATTTAGCCAGGGCAAAGATTTTTGAAATTTTTTTTCTGTTTTTTTTTTTTTTTTGCAAATACTTGCCACACCCACAGAGACCGCAGCCTGACCAACTTTTTGCGCCACCTTCCCCATTATCTGCGTTGGCTCGCGAAAATTTCTAAATCGTGGAAAACTTTTGCTTTGTGCGGGGCTTTTAATGCGACTCTGATTGGACTCTCTCACCCGCTGGCAAGGATTGCAAGTGGTTGCTCCTGTCTGCCTTGTGGTGGTGTGGCCCAAAGGGCAGTGGGCGTGGCTGGTAGGCGGTACACAGTGGACGCGCTCGGTTAAACTTTTGCCATCAAGTCCCTTTTGTTTCAATTAACCTTTTCATTTTAAAGTTTTTAACAATGTTTGCCAAATGTTTGCCCAACTGCTGAGCTGTCTCTGACTCCCTTGTCCACCTTGCACAGGCCACGCCTACTCCATTTCCATCTCCATGTCGTTGTCCATGAATGACTAAATGACTGAATGAATGACTGACTGACTGACTGAAGGAATGAATGTGCGTGCGCTGGCAAACCCTTTTTTCCTTTCCCCCCGAAATTGGCAACAGTTTTGCAGTTGTTTTCCTTTTTCCTTGCACTCGGCGGGCAAATATCTCAAATGGAAATCAAATTGCTTTGAATTGCTGGAAGAAAAACCCTTTCAAAAAGTCTGCCAGCCTGCGGCAGTTGCAGGTCGCAAAAAGTGGAAAGTGCGGATGCTGAATTGGTGCGGTGTCAATAGAATAAAAGTTTTTGAAAGTGCTTCCCGGGTGATTGCAGAGGGAATCCAATACAAATAATCGACCAGCCAACAGCACGAATAATTTATACTCTTACACAAAGTTTCCTCTGAGTTTAGAAGGTATTTATCATGTAGTTTTTTCAATTGTAACATCTCAATAAGTTTGAAACTCCAATTAAATTGAAAAATTAATCAAATCAACACATAACTTTTGGCCTTGAGAGATATACCCCACCCAAAGATGAAGTAATCTTGAATGCAGAGTCACATTTTCAGTGGTAAAAGTTTTGTATATCTTGCTAATTGGCTTCCTGAGCAACAGAAATCAACGCTGAACTTTTGCCCTTTTCCGTTTTTGTGTCACCTTCAAGATGGTTTGGATATATCTGAAACTCAACCCACTGGAATCCCCACCATCGAGATCCCATTCCCATTCGCAAGCTGTCCAAGCTGCTTGGGGCGTTCTCAAGTGTAAATGTTTCCCAGCAGTCGGGGGTCTTTAATAAACATAACATTTATTTATCATGCTGCTCTCTCTGCTCGACTTAAAGCGCCTGCAGCTGTTGGTCGGGAAAATCCAGTTGTTGGGGTGCGGAGGAGGGGAAAAAAACTTAGTGGGTGGCTTATGTCTTTGACTAACGCTTTGGGTTTTTTGTTTGGGACGCGTTAACTTCCTTTGACTGGTCATACAAAAGACAAAATCAAAACAAGCTAAAGAATCAAGGGGAAAGACAGGGAGGAGGTCTTAAGGGGAGACAAACAGACGGCAAACGGGTGGAAGGCATCCGAAATGCACTTCCTGCCAATGCTCAAACAACCCACCTCCCAGGTTTTACCCCGAAACCACCTATGGTATGCTGTTTTAAGCTTGTTGAACTCGTTGCTTTCGCTGTGTTTGTTTGTTCGCTCGCTCGCCTTGCGATTTTATCCTTTTATTTCCTTGAACTCCCCAGCCCTAACCCAGTATCCTTGTGTATATCCATCTGTATCTCCCGCCCTGCCACTACCCTCCCTGTTTGTGTGTGTGTGTGCAGTTTCACTTTATCATTGTCTAGGCATCGTTTTTCACTTGGCAGCAGCCACAGTCAACATCGAGCACCTTTTCCACTGCATCTGTTTGCACGACCACATACACGTCCCTGTGCATGTGCATGTATGCTAACAGGTGAGGCCATAATATTAGGACTACTTCTGTTTAACAACATTTAACACTAAATTATTTAAACAAAGAAATTTTAATTATTTAAAAAATCCTATTTTAATATAACCAAGATATTTCAGAAATATTTTAAAGACCCTTTAAAGACACTTAGCTGACCCCAACTGTGCCTGCAGCAATTTGAAGGGTGTGCCTGGGTGTTTGTGTGCAGTTCCTGCTGTGCTCCATTTTGGCATGGCTTTGCTTTTGCTTTGCTTAGGATTTTCCTTGGCCCAGCCTGCACTTTTCGCACGTATCTACACTAGTTTTCCTTTTGGCCTGACCTCACCTCCGGCTATATCCTGTCAGCCCCCTTTCTCCTACCCACTTCCCGCTCTTGTGCATCCGTCGACGTCGTCTTCGTCTTGCTCGTCGTCAGTCCTTGTCGTCGTTTTTTTCTACATATATATATATATATTTTTTTTTCCTTTCTCCTTTCTATTTTTGCAGTTGCGCAAAAATGCAGGCATCACATTTTTCCATAGCATACTTTTGAGCGCTGTAAATGTTCACCCGCAGGGGAGCTTTGACAGCCAGGGTTGCCATGGCGCCGATAAAACAGGAAAACGTCCGTCATTCTCAGAGTTCTCAAATGAAATGGCAAATTACTAAAAAGAATGGGTTTTCTTTGTGTGGAAAAGGAAGGCGTTTGACTCATTAGAAAGTTGTAATATTCCTTATTTTTCTACAACTGCCGTCAGTTAAGGCTTGCCCTTTGAAATATTTATACAAATTTATGTAAGTCTTTCAAGCTTAGTTAAAGTCATCTCTTAACTTAAAGATTTAAGTGATTTAAGTCTCCTAAATATACGTAGTCATACCGATACTTTCTGAACCCTTTGACAACCCCGACTGAAGATAGCCCCTAAGATGGTTTCCGCTTATCCTTGATTATAAGCTTCTTTGGTATTGTACTTAAATTGTTTTTCACATGCTAAGCCACTCACCTTTGTTGGCCAATTCATGTGTGGTGGTTGTTGCCGTTTGAGCTGGCGATGTTGCTGCTGCTGGCGTGGATGTTGCTGCTGTTGGTGTTGCCGTTGTCGCCGTTCTTGATGTCGATGTCATCAGCGTGGAGAACACATCACTGACAGCTGCTGGCCCAGATACGGATACTGCCACCGATACATCTTTAACAGCCTGTTGTGGTTGTTGTTGCTGCTGCAAATGTATATGTTGCTGTTGCAGTTGGGATTGCTGCTGCTGCTGTTGCTGCTGCTGCGGTTGTTGTGGCAACTGAAGCTGCTGAGATTCAAGAATTCGCCGCTGATGAAGGCAAGGTGTTGGCATTGTCGTTGACGCCTCCATTGGCAACTTGAGCGGCATGTTGGGCACCTGCAATTAGCATAAGGCAGCAAATTGGCATAATTAGTGTAAATGGTATGCAACAATCAAATTAGTCGCCGCCACTCGACAGAATCGTCGATAACGACGACCGCAGAACACCCATAAACCCCCCCAACCATACGACAAACCACCACAAACGACGACCGAGCCGACCGACCACGTTGCCCGTTTCTGTCAAATATGAAATCGAAAATTTAATCAGCGCGCTTGGAATGCCAAACAGCACACATAAAGGTCCACTCTAAACACACATTAGCACAGATGCAATATACATATACTTAAAGCAACACACACACTCATTTTCGATGGGTGTGCGCTATTAATTTGCATGGGAAACGTGAGTAGCATTCGGTAAAAATTAGATAAGCGCCAGAGGCGCCTTCCGTCGTTAGCTTTTACAATACCCTGTAATTAGACGGTAGTCTTAAGGTGATTTTTAAAATGTTCTTCACTTTTCAGTACCTTCATTTCTAAGTTGAAAGCCTCATCGATAAACATCTAACTAACCAATCCAGAGTTCAAAAATGAAAACCTTATTTAAATAAAATTTCCTCCAATTAATACGCTTAAAAGGATTCCCTTCTATTCATAATCCGCCTTCCTGCTCTTCACAAAACCAAATCAAATTTCGGTAAAATTATTCAAATTATTTTGCACAAATTTCCATCTCCTTTTTGTGTGGAAAATTGATGAGATGAGCGGGAAAACATTGAGTTGATTACTTAGGAATACGACCTTGGCCCGAGGCTTAGGCACCGTCCAATTAGCATTTTGTAAATGAATATCCAACGAAGCCCCGGCCGAGTACACATGTAATCCAATCAAATGCATCTCATTCATCATTATCGAGTTGAGCAGATCAAAAGACTGGCAAAAGTTGCCATGGCGACCGCATGGTGCCCAACCTCCTTTTAGCAGCAGGTGCGCATGGAATTTATGCAAATGAATCGCCGGCAAAGGTTTCGATTTGCAAGGCCTCCCCCGCAGGCAACACCCATTCTCATCCTTTGCCGCCTTTAATATGAACCATGACGATAACGACTATATGGAGGATGAAACAAGCAGGCGGGCAGCAGTGATGATGATGGACGAGCGACCCTTTTGGGACCGTGCACTTTTTGCCATTTCAATCAGTGGATGGCAATTGCTTCATTGGCCAGCCAAGCGCTGGAAACGTGTCGCAACCATTTTGGGTCAGCAATTTGTACAAAACACTCGGAACGGACCTTTTAGGATCCGCCACTGGCACTGCTTTAAGTGAACATTCCACAGACCAAAGTTGGTTATTAAACATTAAAATGTTTCACTGCCCCCCACCCCTCTGGTTCCCAGTTTCCCTTCTTTTTTTTTTTATATAGCACTGACCGACAGACCGAGGAAAAGGAGCAATTGGCAAAGGCAATAAAGTGGCCCAAGTAACCTGACGATGGCCAAGGCCTTCGGGATACCAAGAAAAGGAACTTCTGTGAGTTCAAGTACTGAAATTAAACGAATCATTGGCAAATAAGCAGGGGATAATGAAACGTGAAACTTGGGGCCATCTTTGGGGTAATTGCTTGATTGGAGTTGCAAGATTTACAACTTTAAAAGGCCACTTCAACGTCAATTTATGCGAAGTGTAAATACAAGAAAAGTTTATTAATTCCATAAGGCAAAACCAATTTATTCATGGTGTAAGTACAGCGAAAGTTTATTAATTGACCACGCCCAGCCAGACGAAATAAATCCATTAGAGGACCCTAAACCCATTCCAGATCTCTAATTTTCCTACAGCAATGTCTGGGCTTTTGACTGCAACTTGTGCTGCTGCCACAAAGGCAACTTCAAGTGCTGTTTTGTTGCAGCTTTGCTTGCCACTTAGTCAAAAGGCAGTCGGCGTCCGCCTTGCCGCAGAAAGCAAACATAATTTCAACTTTTGAAATGCAATAAAACCGCAGCTCATCCCGCCCTCCAAATAACCCAACAACAACTCAACAACCCGAGCTCATCCGCTCCACTCCCGCCATAGAGAAAGCAAACAAACAAACAAATGGATGTAGAACATTTTGCAATTGCCAACTGGGTCGCCATCGTCGTCGTAGTCGTCGTCTGCCACGATGGCCACCATCCAATCCGCCGGGGGGTTGCCTTTGCTCCTTCTATCTTTGTCTGCCTGGCAAATTATGTACACATAATAAAATAGTAAAAAAAAAAAAAAAAAACAGACAAACGAAAATGCAACTGCAATCAAACGTTGCCCTGGCAACGGCAGGAGCCTTTCCTCCCTCTCTCCTAGCTACGCAGGAAATTCAATGCCAGTTTCAAACATAATATCCAAATTTAATTGGCATTTAATGGAAAAATAATTAAGCAAAAGCTGTGCTGTTGCTGCTGCTTCTGTTGCTGACACCAGCAGCAGCACCAACGACTGCAACTTCAGTTGCAACAAATATGATAAACGACTATTTGATTACTCGTTACAGGCAATTAATCAATTTACCAGCAATTTTTAAGTCGCCAAGATAGGGGAACTTATATTTCCAGATTCTAAATCTCAGCTAATGATATTTATTATCGATATAAAATAAAAAATTTTCAGTTTTGTCATTTTAACTTTCTCATAAAACAGCCTACAAATTATAGTACAAGACATTAGTTGTGGATTTTATTACTAATCATATATATTAAAGCATTAAATTTTCTTTTAAATATCGTAAAAAAAGTAGTTAAGTCTTGCTATAAGAAAATGAATTTATTTCCTAAGTGATTTATCATTCATAATGAAAGTTTATCCCATTAAATTCTGATGACAACCTAAACATTTATCTCCCAACCTGTCACTTGTGTACTCTTAAAGACCCAAAATCATCATTATAGTCCCTTTTCTTGGCAACCTTAAGCCCAAACCGAGCATATCCCATTGGCCCAGCATAATGGCCACCAAAATGGTTATTAGCCAGAGCAGCAGCAGCAGCAGGAGAAGGAGCACCAAATCCAGCCAAGCGTTGAGGCGACGCGTTGACACTCCACTCCAGCAAAGCGTGCGGCTAATGAATGCAGGGCATTACATACATGAACGGAGCCATACGGATATATAATTGAAAATACGTACAAGCCATATATATATATATATATTTACATTATTTACATAAACCGAAAAGTGTCCAATCCATGTAGGGAAACATGCATTTTGCATTTTTGACGTATTAACTGAGCTTATTCCGGGCTGAGAAATAAAGGGGGCGTGTATAACACGCAACAAAATGCCAGCGAAATACCAACAAACATTGCACTTTTGCATGCATAATTGTGAAAATTAAAACGAACTTTGTGTGTCTGTGTGTTGGCCAGACATAGCCGGAGCGTTGGGTGGGCGGTTCCAGGCGGCGGCGGCAGGTGGTTCCACCGGAAGGGGGTGGCTTTCAGCCCAGCAGGACTTCCACATGCAGTGTGGGTGTCGGAGTGTCCAGGCAGCTTGGGCAATATGCAAACGAGCTGGGCGAGACTTATGCTGGCGGCGGCGAAGGGAAGGTGCAGGTGCAGGTGCGAAGCATGCACAGGTGCAACGTCGGTGTTGGTTTTCATTAACGTCATAATGACTGTCGAGCGGCTGCCGGCCGACAGCTTTAATCCTTTATGTGGTGGGCTAGGTGGCTCTATTTCTCGAACCTCTACGCTCCTTCAGCTCTTTAGCTCTCGGGAATCCAAGGCTCGGACATGGACATGGACATGGACACGGACCTCCTTCGGGCAATTGTGTGCGCACTCAGAACAGGAACTTGCGGCGCTGCCGGATATGAGTAATCGCTCAGTCACGTCGCCAGCGACGAGTTTCCAAAAGTCCTGCAGGACTGCACCAAGATTTTCCTGTCAGACCCCGTTCCGGGAAACCCTCTCCCTCCTAGAACAACATACTGCGAGGGCAGTGCATGACGTAACCCACAACGGAAATCGCTCAACGGTCGCCGGGCGCGCGTGCAATTCTCTGGTTAATGCTCGATTCTCTGGTTAGTAGTTTGTGGGAGAAGGGGCAGGAGCCAGGAAAATGGCAGTCGGGCAGTTGGCAGCCTGCAGGATGCACATTTAAACTAAATTGAAAAGCAGAAACCTTGCAAGAGCCAACAGAAAATGTATAAATTTCAGTGCCTGGTTGGCAGAATTCACTTTAAGCGGAAATTAAATCAAGTCGAAACGACACTGCACTTCAGCGAGCACGAAATACAGCTTAAATGCAGTTTGCCTTGAAAAGTGTTTAAGTAAGAAAGATTTTCCACTATTAAGTCGCCAAAAAGTAGGCTATGCTTTCTCTAAAAGGATAGTCTTTTCTTTGGTTTAAATTTTCATTGAATTAACTTTGCAATATCAAAAATTACATTTGCAACTATAGATAACTTTCAAAATTCACATCTTTAAGATTGTTTTTCCCGTGCACAACCGCAATTAAGGACTTAACCTTTTAGGGAAACCCACAAACTGCTCTGCGACACTGATATCGATTTATAGAATATCCTTTTTTCGGGCCAGTTAAAGGATTAAACTGCCAACTCGATTTGGTCTGGTCGTGAGATGGACAACTTCACCCAACCACCGACGTGCCTCATTCAATTGCTGTGGTCCAAAAACTTTCGCCAGTCAACGTTGGGCACCTGGCTGTTGGATATCTGCACTTCAGGCCGCCTGGCAGACCACTCTTCAGCGGTTCAGTGAAGCAAAGTTCTCGACATCATGTCTGCCTGCCATTCCTGACTCCGCCTGTCCCGGGTCCTGTTGCACTCTGGGTCTGGTCCTGCCCTGGCAATGCCACGCTGTCTGCTCACAGCGCAACGTACCACATTTAATTTGGACTAATGAAGTTTCTATAAAAACGCCTGGCCAAATGACTGGGCCAACGAAAGAAAAAAAAAAAGAGCGGGAACGTGGAGAGATCGCGTCTGGAATTCAATTTCTGCCACCAAAAGCTGCTAAAGTACCCAGACAAGCAGAAGAGTGGGGTGAAGTTGAAGTCGATG